GTGTATAACTCCGCTCATGTCATAACTTCATGGGACTAAGAAGGTAAATATTGCTGAGAAGAGAGGAGATACCCACCTGCTTTCTTGAATTACAGCTACTAAAGATAAAAAACAAGCTGGACAAAATACTCACCTGCTGTATGTATGGCATTTTTCTTCCCCCAGGGAAAAAACTCCACTTTGTTGTAATGTTAGTGCTAGTATTATTCTAAATATTAATATCTTGATGAAAATTCAACACATAGACACCACAAACCTCTGCCCTGCTTTGGAGGAAGCTTCAAACCTATTTACCTTCAGGTGTATGTTACCAAACCACTCTAATTTTACAGTTATTTAGTGTAACTTGTACATAATTGTTTTGAGAGCTCCTTCTATTAGGCTAGGTCTCTCTCCCTTTCAGAAAGCCATCTACCCTCTATTTCTCAGTTCATAGAGAAAGCTTTACAGTTTTACATATCTGGAACTGAATGAAACTGGCTCATGAACTGGACGAGTTGAATTTTGCAGCTACAAAAACCATCTGTGGCTTCCACTGCTGCCAGCAAGTAGAAGACAAATAGGCAGCCTGAGAAGAAAATGCACTATGGAGGTACAGCTCCTCCAGTCGTTCACAGTGCTAACAATCTTCTGCTGTGCTAGTACAGGGCTTCAGGGATGTGTTTTTAGGGCCAGGGTATCTTTCAGAGAATAAAAGTACCAGGAGGCTCTAAAGTCAAACCAAAGGTCTGTTAGCCCAGTAGCATTTGCAGTGGCCAGCTGCAGATGGTTAAGGAAGCTGGCTAAGAACAGAGCAAGGATACAACTTTTCCTCTCCCCTAAAAACTTGTCCATTTCTGAGAATGAACACCTTTGGGAGTATCTACCAAAATCTCTCCATCTGCTGCCCCTTTTGATACGATTTATCTTCCTCCCAGGGCATTCAAAGTCTTCCTATATTTTGTAACTTCATTTCCAGTGGAGGGACTTGAGGAATTCCCAGGAGAGGACCATTGCTTGGGAGCAACAGGGGCAGCAGTCGAGCCGAATCTGTCCGTTGAGTGGGGACAGCAGACTGCTTCCAGATGTGGCACAAAATGCTTTGCAAGTAGTGAACAGGCTGCACAAAAATAGCCTGGGGCCTGGCCCCTGAGATGCTCAGGGAATGCGGGGACACAGACACGTCTGCTGCGGCATTTCTTCAGGTAACTCTTACAGCTCAGGTGTCTAGCGGCTCCTGTCCCTTCCAGCCCTCCCCTGCCCAAAGACACCAGGTGCTTTAGAGAACAGGCTTTTGAGCAGGGTCTTCTCTACCCTTTAAAATGTACTTCTGCTGCAAAGCAGAGCCATATTTTGCTGAGTTAGTCATGGGAATGGCTATGTGACTTCTCGGTTATTTTTTCAAAAAGTTGTGGTGATGACCGATGCGCTGATTGATACCTGGTTCTTTATGATGTGCACTTTTTCCTTCTTCAGATTGTGTTAAAATATATTTTCATTATGTTGGGCTTTACTTTTATTTATCTGATTTTAAGTTGGTGCTTTGCATAGCTCAAGGCTTGTAGCTTGTGTTTGATGTGTAATAGCAGATAACTTAAGGTTGTGGTTTGTTGTTCAAGCCAGAAAGCCGTTTGTTTCCCTGGTTTTAACTGTGTTGCATCCTCTTCAGGGGAGTATACAACCAGATGGTTTGTTTACACTGAGCTTTTTAGGAGGGGGAAGAGGTTATGTCTGTCTGTGAGACAAATCAACTACATGTTAAGATCTCAGAAGCATCAATGAAAAGAAATTAATTACCTGTACAGCTGAAAACAGGGTTTATCTGGGATGGACAGCCCTAAACTGAGACAGTTCTTACTTCTTTGCAACTATATCTGGGCCTCTCATGAGGATGGAGTGGGAGGGGAGCTCCAGGTACATCTCTGCAGTTCCCTAGTGCGCAGTAGCCACCTCATAAGCAGCTGCCGGGACCGGCACCCACGTGGGACCGGCACCCACGTGGGACCAGCTGCATCCACTAACGTCTCTCCGCTTCCCCAGGACTGCAAGTAGCGGAAGAGCAGAGCACACCGGTACTGCTGCTGTTCATCTCCCATGTTCCCGTGCCCGGAGGGCTCCTCTCCAGGCTGACAACTGGGTAACTTTCCTCCAGCCTCAGCATCCATTGGGATGAATCCGAGAGCGAGCGGTGCCATTCCCCAGCTGGAAGGTTGAGGTTAATGGAACAGTGACGCATGTATTGCATGGTCTTGTGCCAGACACCGCCGTCAAGGCTGAGTAAAAATTTTAATTTATTTTAATGTAGTTATTGAGGCATTTTAATTCCATCAAAGGAAATAACACAAGACAATCTACAAATATTCATTTGCTACTGTTAAATGAACTTGATTCAGCTGTGCTTGGTTTCTCCTTTTTGGGTTTTACTTTGAGACTTACTTCTTGCTTACAGGCACAAGTATTCAAGGATTGTGAACCTTAAAAATTGCAGTCTAAATTCTGCATTTTGTACATGAATATTTAAACAGAGTAATATATTCTGTTCTTTCTGTAAGACCCCATTTTTAATCATTAATGCCTGTTCTTTTGAGCAAATAAACCCCACATATACAAGCCTTGTATGCATTTTAAAAAAAGATAGTTGTCTGGGACAAGTTCCAATATGACAATATTCTATATATGAATATTTATAGATCCACCAAAATTGGTGAATACTGAATTTGCTGATAAACATTGTGGAGGGGTTTTTTTACTTTTCTTTTGAAAGAGATTGAAAAATTTATTTGCAAATTGGGTCAAATTCAGTATATAATTTTAGCCAAAAAACATCTTTTTGATTTATTTTTGGTTAAAAGAAAAACTTCATACTTTCAAACTTTTTGATTCGAAGCAACTTTTGTATGCATAATTTATCCAAATTGCAAAAAAAACTCAAAACCTTTTAACAATATTGAATAACATGAAACAAAATATTTCATTTGTGGCAAAGATTTTAAGTAAGCAAAAATTAAATTTGGGAATTTTGTAATGTAAGAATTACATTGCCTGTTGCATGTTAGAAGTAGAATACTGATCAATGTGGTTGCACTGGCATTGTTTTCAGGTTGCAATGAAAGCTTTTCCTCCAAACGCATCGGTGTTTTGTTAGAACTGTGCAGAAAACCATCAGGCTGTTGTCTGAATTTGTGTACGTATCGCGTTGTGTTTAAGAAAATACTATTGCTTCTGGCACTCAGCTCACAAATGTGGCAGCATTTTTTCTTTCTGTGCCACAAGTGTGGCTGTGTTCTGTTTTTTCTTCTGTGCACCAGGTGTCCTCACTTGGTATATTTTACATTTAAAATGAAATTTTTAATGCTGTGTAATTGAAGCCTGTTATTTTTACAGCAATTGATACCAGATGATGATTTCGGTTTCTGTGTGCACAGTGAACCCTGGCTGCCTTTCCTCCTCCTCCCAGCACATACTGAGAAGCATGCTTGTATTTAAATATGGGTGTGAACGGTGTGTGACCTAAATACCCCAGAAGGAAAGTCCTCTTGCAACACATATGACATTTCTGAATCAACCATCGCACAAAGATATTTGCTTGTCTGGTGCACATTGGGTTTTGACTTGGGAATGAAAACAACGTTTGAGTATTTCCCATGGGATGGAAACACAATCTTCCAGTCATCTCTGGCTGCGGGTGACTGATTCAGAAAGTTAAAGATTAAGGAGATACAAAATGACGCATAAAGGAGGGAATGCAAAAGGTCTACCGAGAAGATAATTTGAGGGAATGCAGAGGCGAGTGATGGAAAATGAGATCGCTTTATGGGCAGGCTACAGGGAGCCTCAAGACAAAATTGCGGCCACCGATTTCTGACAGTAACATCAGAAAACTGCAGTCAGGACGTGGTTGCTGCAGTGTTGTGGAAACAGGCATAGGGTCCGAGACCCCGGCGTTACCGCCCAGCTGGCTGGGGGCACAGCAGCGCGTGGGTTGTGAACCTTTCTGCTGTGACGGAACCAGCATGGGGACCTGCTGTGGGGCACGGTGCTCGTCCTTGAGACCTGAGCAGAAGACGTTGGGAGTTTGACTGTGGGAATACCTCTGTATATTGTTCAGTACAGCGCGGTGCAAGTTTGCAATGCTAAATCGGGGTCATTTATGTATGGTATCTTAGCCAAATCCATGTTCAAGCCACAGCTGAATGGGTTTACATCAAAATTCTCCACTGACAACCATATATATTTTGATAGGAAAGCTTTTGGATAGCATGGAACTCTCCTTTTTTTTGTGTGAAACAGAAAACAATGTGTTGGAATACAGCGCTGTCTCAATCTTATCAATGAACCGTTGCCCTTTTGCCAAAAAGGAGCTGGCAATTTATAAGATACGGTTTGTTAAAAAGTATATATAGTTGTGGAATACCATAAGTTACTAGATGCCTCTCTAGTTCACTGTGTCTTTGAAAGCAGGAAACAAACTCACATGTTTTTGATCTCTTGCAATAAGATGGTTGCCTTGTTTGTTCTACTATAGAAGTGGAGTTACCCTGCAAGAAATTAAAAGCATGCAAGGGTTAGGAATAATTTCTTTGTCAAATAGTTGATGAAGCCTACATCCTGAATTTCCTACGCATGCTGTTACCTTGATTTTTCAGAAAGAGTTGTAATGCGTACATATTTGCTCCTGCAAAACCTATTTTTTGTCTTCTGCAGGTAAGTCTATGAAGCAGCAGTAAGAGGTCTGTAGCTATCTTTGTGGTAGCTAGCTAGCTAGCTGAGCATGAATAGTAAAATTGTTCCAGAGATTCTGGATTTTTTAAATTTGTTTGCAAACAGTAGTGGTTTTTAATTTTCGAAATGCTTTTCGCTTTACTTTCTTCAGTGTGAGAAAGATACTTGACATGGGGTCTTGTTAAGAACTTCTGTTTTCAAAGGATCCCTTCTTTTTGAAGGAATCTGCGCAACATTTCGTGACTACATGCCATTTTCTTTGCCTTTAATTTCTGCAGCACTGATTCCTCCTGCTAAAGATGGCTGAGACATGGGCAGTTCTGGCTGCACTCCTTTTCCTGCTAATCTGTCTGGTTGAAGGGCCAGGTAAGTGAGAGAGATCCAAAACTACATGCAACGCTCTTTGGTCCTCTGTATTTCCAACTTGCCAGTCACTGAAACTTCACACTTCACCAGAAGAAATTTTGCTTATTGGTTAATGTGAATGCAAAGAGTGATGTCACCTCAGCTGGCAAAATAATCGTGTGCCTTGCAGAGTGGCACAGGGTGATATATCTGATAAGAATCCAACACAGATCATCTGAAGACCCATCTCCTGTTCAACTGAGACAATATCAGGAGAGCTATGATTTCTGGTAGGAAAGGAATCTACATATGACCCTTACTAAATACGCCTCGTGAACTACTGCACCAAGTGATCTTGGGCTTTAACCTTGTTACAGGTGTATGTTCCACTGTTATCCCTGGTTTTATTTGCACTTTAACCAAGGCACCTAATTCAAGAACACAAATTTTTTTTTTAAAAAGTAGTTTCCTTTCCCTTAAGAGTGAATCTTGTCCTCCCCATCAGTTTTTCAAAGCCCGTAGATAGTGATAGAAATCTATTGTCAAGAAAAAGGTGGAGGACTTGCACCTCATCAGCATGCATCTCGTGACCACAGCAGAAAGGCACCATCTCCACTGCATTTCCAGACTTCAAAGAGTGACAGCAGGAAGCTGGACCTGGAAATGGAATACTACTTATATGTGTCTGCACAGAGCATATGTCCCCAAGGCTGCCAGTATAGTAAAGAAGTAGAAATTTTTAAGTGTGATGAAGCCAAGAGTTTCCTATGTTTTGAGGATGGCTGTAACATAATTTTTAATGTTTCTTTTCTTCTCTTCTTATGTAGCTTACAACTTGGTGAGTGTGGAGGCTGGGCAGGAGGCTGTGTTGAGTTGCCCTTACATCTCCAAGGTGCCTTTGCTAATGGTGACGTGGAAGATGAAATGCAGCCCTTGCTGCTTGTTGGCCTACAGAAGTGATCACAATGAGACGAAGAAGTTAAACTGTAGTGAGAGGATGATGTGGAAATATTCACCTGACAGAGACCCTGCTCTTCGTATTTACCCTGTGAACCTTGGTGATGAGGGAAATTACACCTGTGAAGTTGCCAGCAGTGCAGGGAATTACCTTTTTTCCTCTTCTCTGACTGTAACAGGTAAGACACACCTTGTGTTTTATTTATTTTTTTTTCTGTGTGTGTAGATAAAAATGATTTGTTTTGGTGGTAAAAGACCAAATTCATTTTGGATGTATACTGAAATTGAAAATAAAGAGGTAAGCTGATTTAGTCTGGCTGTGTAAGTAAGGCATGAGGAGTTGTGCAAGAGGACTTGGCTGTTCTATGGAGACATAATCTGGGGGTTTTGTGTTTGTTTTTTTAACTTCTTCTGACTCATGAACAGAGGAGGTTTTAAAATGCACAAATCCAACAGTCTGCATAGTTTCTGAGAGAGTTCTTTGTGCATAACATGGAGTTTTAATGCAAACAGAAGATACCAAACAAATACTGCTGCTATAAGATGACCAAGAGGATGCTGAACCAAAATTCACAATGAGGTCAATGTGTGTTTTGTCTGGGTAAGAGCGGAATAGGAAGGAAGCAAAAGTTTCAGGATGCTATCTGGAAATATTTCATTCTTCCAGAAATACTGAAAGCTGTCTGTAAGACTGCCTCACTAAAACAAAAATGAAATTAATCTATTTTCAACATAGGCAGGAATAAAAGAATACTAGGAAACATAATGAGTACATCAAATCATCTTTTTCAGATATTCAAGTAGACTATCTCTAGGTTTCCATAAATTAAAAAAAACCCTACTACCAAACAAAAAAAAACCCCAAACCCCCAAACCAAACAAAAAACCATTAGGAGAACATTTTGTGTTCTGATCATATTAGTTAAGCCTTCTGAATATAACTAAAAATTACGGAAAATTAATTTTGGAACTCTATAATTGCTATTATTAATTTTTATCACTTGATTTTTTTTTTCTCTTCCCTGCAAGGTCTTACCTTTCTGATAATGGCTTAGATATTGTCTGAGCCTTTGCCTGTTTTGTCAAATGCAGAATATGAGTTGTTGGACTGTAGGCAGAACAGTTTTTTCCAATTCCTCCTTTATTTCTCTACTATCAAATTCTTGATTCTACCTATCCAATCTCCTAAATATGTTAGCTGAGCTAATATATTTAGCTATATGAAGCTATATGGAGCTTCAGCAAGTTGCGTTTTCTTCAGTATGTGCACTGCAATACTTCTAAATCTTCATTTAATCCACCCCTCTCTGTCATACCATCTTCCTCTGTTACTACTGTAGCCACCTTTCGGAAAACATGAGGAAGCAGTGCTTTTAGATGCAGCTAGCTAGTTTTGGAGATATTCACCTTGGACTTTTTGATGTATTTTTTTTGTCCCTAAAGATCGTTGGTGCTAATATTCTAAATTATTTTAAAATTTCTTGAATTGGTCATGCAAACTAAAAAATACCACCTGTTTTTCAGTTTCTCAGTTGGTGGTTTTATACTGAACTACAAATAATGGTTGTGGCCTTTTTTTTTCATTCTTCTATAGTCCCTCCTACAGTGACTCTGACCTGTGACAACAGCAGGGTGGCTGTCTGTCAAGCAGCTGCTGGAAAGCCAGCTGCTGACATCTCCTGGATCCCTGCAAGTAATCAGAGCACCGAGGAAGAACTCCATCACCCCAACGGAACAGTGACCAGAGTGAGCTACATACGCTGGGTCAACAGCATGCTTCCCACTCTCACCTGCCTAGTTACCCACCCAGCTACAAACCAGACTCTGTCCATAGACCTGTCAGGTAAATAACATTGCTCTGTAATTGCTCTTCATCATGCTCTTGGGCTTCTTTATGCTGTTCTATGCAGCTGCTCCCACTGAATGCCAGGGCTCTGGAGATTGTTTCGTGGGATTATAAACCAAAGTCCTAGTGCATGTTGATAGAGAAATCAATAATTTTGAGTTAGTTGAAACCAAATGTTTCGTGGCATTGTATGGAGAAACTTTCAGTGTGTGCTTCTTTCTAGCCCTGCTCTGTTTTACGGGAGTTCGTCACTCTGCTGGTGGTGGGTTGACCTTGGCTGGCTGCCAGGTACCCACCGCTGCTCTATTGCTCCCCCTCCTCAACAAGACAAGGAGAGAAAAATATGATGAAAAGCTCAAGAGTCAAGATAAGGACAGGGACATTGCTCACCATTTTACTGTCATGGGCGAAACAGACTTGACTTGGGAAATTAATTTAATTTATTGCCAATCAAATCAGAGTAGGATAATGAGAAATAAGAACTAATCTAAAAGCCCCTTCCCCTCATCCCTCCCTTCCTCCCAGGCTCAGTTTCACTCCCAACTTTTCTACCTCCTGCCCCTGAGTAGTGCAGGAGAAGGCGGGTTGCAGTCAGTTCATAACACTTCATCTCTTCTGCTCCTTCCTCCTCGTGGTCCTCCCCTGCTCCAGTGTGGGGTCCCACTCATGGGAGACAGTCCTTCATGAACTTCTCCAATGTGGGTCCTTCCCAAGGGCTGCAGTTCTTCACGAGCTGCTTCAGCGTGGGTCCTTTCCATGGAGTGCAGCCCTTCAGGCACAGACTGCTCCAACCTGGATCCTCCATGGGGCCACAGGTTCTGCCAGAAATCCTGCTTCTGTGTGGGCTCCTCTCCACGGGGCCACAGGCCCTGCCAGGAGCCTGCTCCAGCACGGGCTTCCCACGGGGTCCCAGCCTCCTTCGGGCATCCCCCTGCTCCGGCGTGGGGTCCTCCCCG